GGTTTCACGGTGGAATGATCTGATTTGGTCATCTTGTTGGAGATCTCTTGATGTTGGTATCTAAATCTTCTTGGCTGGTCCAGTTCCCTGGAGCACTTCTTCTAACCTCTGGATACAAAAGTCTGAGAGCAGAGAGGAAGAGCGTTGGCAGTCTCAGCATTCAGAATGTATACATTTACTAGATCCCCCTGTTTTCACTATGGCCCCATGCCTTCATTTGGGCCTGATGACCTCCCTGGAGAAGAAAGATACTTCTAGCCTTTTGCTGGAGTGGGAGACATGATGAAAATATGCAGAATGTGGGAGAAAAATCTCAGGATCTAACTCCTCCTAAAGGGCTTCAATTAGTCTTTTTTTTTTTTTTTTAATATGGGGATGGATCATGGTCCTGTAGTTCTTACGTTAGTTCAAACAAGTATTTGTTGGACACTTCCTATATCCTGAATTATCCAGGTGGAGTAGGGGTAGGGCATGGACACTACAGGCAGAGGGGACCATAGGAGCAGGGATCCTGAAGCCAAAACCTGCGTGAGGTGTAGCTGGAACCCAGTCTTCAAGGGTATTGTCAAGGTATGCCCTTCTAAAGGGTAGGAAATAAGATTGACTATTAGTTAATTTTCTTTACTTTTTATTGCTTTCTTCATTTTACCCCTACTTCCAGAGGAATTTGATGTCATCAGTTCTTGAGAACTGGGGTACACCTTGATTAGTGTCTGCTTTCTCTGCTGCTCATTTAGCTATCAGCCACTCATCTATTTTCCCAGTTCCAAATTTAAACAAGAAAATTTAAACAGTTTCTTTTCACTATTATGTTAATGAGATAAGACTGAGATTAGTTGCAGATATTCAAGCTACTATCTAGACTCAGAAGTCTTACTATAGGACATTTACTAAAATTCAGGACAGCAGAAACTAGGAATCCTCTACAGTATCAAGCCAAGCTTTTAGTTTCAAGTGATCCCAGTTTGATAAGCACCTCCAGGTTTCTGGCAGACACAGTAGAGGAGGAACCCACTTTCCACACAGGGCCCAATTCCTACGGGTAAAGTTCCAAGGGATGTGCATTCAGAGTCAGAGGTTGCCAAGCACTCTAGGAAATGCAACACAGAGAGAGCTAGCAGGAGCAACAAAAGGGTAGTAAATACAAAGCCCTCAGATTGTGGGATTATCAGACACAGACTGTTACATAAATATATTCAGTAAGTTGAAAGAAAAGGAGATGGAGAAAATGAGCACATAGCCAAGAAATTATAAAAATGGAAAAACCATTTTGAAAACAGATCAGATAGAACCAGAAATGAAACAGTCATTGAAATAAACTTAAAGATTGGATTAACAGGACATTAAGCACAGTTGAAAAGGGAATTAGTTCCTGGAACAGTAGATCTTAGAAAATTATCCAGAACACAGCACAGCTGAGACAACTCCAAAAGGAGAGTTAAGAGCAAATGGCAGAAAGACAATATTTGGAGAATCACTCAGAATTTCCCAGAGTGAACAGGATGCCACATGGTTCAGAAATTCTAGTGAAGATCAGTAGGTTATGAAAGAAAAAGAGGATGAAGAGATAGGCAGACTCAGTGTCAAGTTTTGTACTGCAGAGTACCTCAAAGAGATTTAAAAAGCAACCAGGGAGAAGACAGACTACTTACCAAAAAAACAATGATTCTATAGACACCTGACTTCTTGACAGCAACAATGCAAGCCAGAAGACCACAAAATCTTATTTTTAATGTGCTGTGTGAAAATAGCTGTCCATCTAGAATCTATACCCAGTGAAATAATCTTTTGAAGAATGAAGGTAAAATAAAGACTTCAGTCACACAAACTGACTAAGCTTGCTACAACAGACTATCCATGAAGGAAATTCTAAAGACTTCAGACAAAAGGTAAGATTATAAAAGATGTTATAATGGAAACTAGGAAAACTTTAAAAACTGAATGAGAACATATCAAAACCTGTGACACTTGGAAGAACATTTGTAACACTGAACGCTTATATTAGAAAAGAAGAAACGCAATCAGTTAAGCAAGTAATTTGAGCTAGAAAAAGAACGATAGGATAAGCCCAAAGAAAGAAAATGCAAGGAAATGAACAGACATTAATGAAACAGAAAGCAAGCAGACAATACAGAGGTTCAGGAAAGTTGGTTTTTGAAGAGTAATAAAATGGACAAATGTCAGGTGAGCTCAATGAAGGGAAACTAGAGTGATGATACAAACACTATTAGTAGAAAACAAAAGTTATGTGCACAGAGATTAAGATGAGTAGAGGAGGGCATGGGAATGTCTTTATGGCAATAAATATGGACTTTTAGACAATAAATGTCTAGAAAAATATCATTTATCAAAACTGACTTAAGAATTAGAAAGTCTAAATAATCCTGTAACAGTTAAAGAAGTGAAGTCATTAAAAATCTTGTTTCAAACAAAACTCCAGGCCCAGATGCTTCTGCTGTCAAGTTTTACCTGCCGGTCAGCAACAACAGCCTATTCCAGAGTATAGATGGGGAACACTCTTCAGCTGAATGAAGCCTAACAGATAACCATGTGAGCAAGGAAACTCACTTATCAGTCTCACTTATGAATATAGTTGGCAAAAATCCAAAACAGGATATTAGCCAGCTAAATCTAGCAGATATAAAAACCTGACCAAGTTGGGATTATCCTAGGTTGGCAAGGGTGTTTTAATATTTAAAAATTTATAATATAACTTATCATATTAACTACTTATAAGGGGTAAAATCATACTATCATCTCAGTGGGTGCACATGCAATTTTGGTTAAAATGCATCAACAGATTATCACAAAAATCTCAAAGTAATAGGTGAGAATTTTCATGATCCGTTAAAGGGTTTCTACACAAACCTACAGCAAATACCATACTTAATGTTGAAATAGTGAAAGCCTTCTCTTTGAGATCAAGAGAAGAATGCCCATATGATTATTATGTTAACTTTACAGTAGATGTTCTAGCCAGGTAAGTAAGATAAAAAACAAAAAATAGATAAAGGTACTGAAAAGAAGAAACCAAATTGCTGTTAATATTCATAGGTGGTAGAATTTTATCCAAAAGTATATTCAGAAACATCCTCATATCATCTTTTACAAAAATAAGGCATTTTTTAAAATTAAAAAATGGTAAAAATGAAATGAATCGGACATGCATCTGGATGTAGGTCCTATATCTGAGTATACTAAGCAGGGACAGTGAGTCCTACAACTCAACTGTTTGGTTTCCCGTCTCTCAGGGATCACTGTCTTTTGTTACAGGATTTCCTAGTGTCTTGACAACTGTTGTTTTATACATTTCCCTCTCATGTCTTAAAACTTATTTCATATAAAAAATGTGTTTGTTTTGGGCTGTTTCAAATGGGAGAGTGAATCTGGTCTTTGTTATTCCCTCTTGCTGGAAGGGGAAGTTTGTTTAATGGTTTGTCAATTCTTAGTCCTCTTTGATAATGGCTTATCAATTCTTAGTCCTCTTTTGTTAATAAAGGGTTATTTTAACACACACTTTGTTCCAGTGCAAGGCCTTTCCTTTAAAAGCATGTGTAAGATTTTTAAAATTTTGTTTTTTTAAAGAAGCTGGTAATTTAAAGGCCCAATCCTGAGGACCTTTAGAGTAAGGAGTGGCTCTGAGATGGATAATTCCTGAGGCTTTTGTTTTTCTGCTGCCTACATGCTTTGTTATCCAAGGCTGTTCAAGGTCTCACCACCCCTGGAGTTTTGACCCACTGATGTGTTTCATAAATTTTAATGAAAGACAGATTGAGAGAAATCATTGATGGGCCCACATGGTTGTACCAGATCCGTGCACTGGCTCAGAATGCAAATGTCTATGAAATTACTCTTAAGTTACCTTTCTGGAAAGCCCCAGACTCCATCTTCTGGCTCGTCTGATCTAGCTAGGTCAGATCAAAAGTGATTTTCAAAAACCCTCATGTTCTTGGCACATTGCTATGATTTATTTTTAAGTCACAGAAAATTGTCCAAATATTAGCACACATATTATAGAATTGCCAATAAACTAGGTATGGTTAGATAGAGCACGGTATGCTTTTTAAAGGAGTTTGTAAAGAATATGATTTAACTTGCCAGTGTGTGATAATAAACTTATTTCTTATGCGTGATTATGAGCTTTATTTATAATTCACTAGCAGATGTTTATTTCATTTAGTTTACAACTCAGACATTCTTGGCTTAACTCAAATTTTCTCTGTATCTCACAGAATTAAAAAAAAATTAGACTAAGACTTTTGTTCAAAACATCCTTTATTTAAATGGAGCCAGATTATTGTAGAAACAGATTTTATTATTTCTGCTAATAAGGATCAGGGAGAGAAAAGGAAATTGAGATCTTTGAAGGGTTCCTCAACATCATTTAGTCCCATCTCTTTCAGCCTCCCTGCTGTTGTCAGACCCACTAGCTTACAGGGCAGCAGAACTGCCCATGGGGACTCCGGCTCCCTTCGTTTCTGTAACCCAGTTGCTGAGCTAATGAGTAGTGTAGTGGCCAAGAAATAGGGAGAAATATTAGAGAAACCAAAGGGCCTAGATTATTTGAACTAAATAAGTAACATCAGAATAATGAGGGATTGACTGCCTTTCCCTTGCTGGGTTCCAGTTCTTTGATCAAAGGATATCTTTTCCTTACTGTTTTATACTGTCTTAATCAAAACAGCCTATATAAATAATTGGACTTGGGGTAGAGAGGATGAAAATGAAAAAGGGGTTAGAAATAGCATGTACTCCTTTTTTTAAAATTAAGCCTTCAGATGGATTTTAATAACTTAAACATGTTAACTGCAATTGGTATTCCTAGTTAAAAAGTGGAAAGGGTATTTTGCTTTTGGTAATTCTTTTTTTTTTATATTTATTTATTTGGGGGGGGAGGGGCACAGGGAGAGGGGGAGAGACTACCTCAAGCAGACTCTACCCTGAGTGCAGCACCCGATGTGTTTTTGGTAATTCTTAACAGTATATGTTTTTCTTTTCAGCTACTAAGTCAGGATTGTTACCTCCACCACCTGCGCTCCCTCCAAGACCTTGCCCATCACAGGTAGGAAACAGAAGTTGATTTCTGTGAACTGTTGGGTATAGTGAAATTGTCCTACCACTGTGCTTCCTTTGCAAGGGTTGATTGCCACAGAACTGGCCGGTCACATTCCCAAGATGACATCTGGACAAAGAGAGCAGAAAGTGGTTGCATTTCTTCTTATCCAGCCAGTCCTCCAGACTCATGTGGAAAAGGGAAAGTTTCCCTGATAAGCAACCAAACAAATGCATACTGGTTTACCTTTGGCCATAGAGGGTTGCATGTCATTTTCAGATAGAGAAAGAAGTAGAAGAATGGGTGTCTCTCCAATTGGGGGGTTGGGGACATGGTTTTTCTGTATAGTATGTACAGTCTGAGTGTGTATATTTTCATCAGTATTTTAGGAGCTGTGTTAATTCATAATTAATGGTCAATCACCAGGGTGTTAGTGCTGTGGTTTGGGCCTACAGTGCTTTCTTTATCGTTAGGATGGTATTTTCCTTTGGAACAATAAGCTGAAACAGCAGGACTTGGGAGAGTGTGTCACCAAAGTCCGTTTCACTTGTGAATTAATTCTGCCTCATTTATATGTGCTACTGTGGCCTTATTCATCAACACTCCTTGTAGAGTTGGAAATGAGAAGCAAGCAGCAAATCTGCAGAGTGTGGTAAAGGGCACTACAGATCCTTCCTTTCATTAATTGCTGCTGAAGAGACTTTCTGTCTTTAAAGGCCCTCTAACTTTCAGCAGAAAATGTTGGGAAATTTCTCTATTAACAGTCCTAGTTTCTGCCTTATTGCTCTAGATGCTTCAGAACATACCTTTCCACATGGCACATCTTAGGACTTGCTGAGTCACTGAGACCACTTTGAACATTTGCTTGTCCTTCTTTTAGAGAATTAGATCATCTTTAGCATCTGCTCAACCTTGAGGTGCAAATACAATGAGTACTGCTTTCCTTCCTCAGTTTGAAGGGTAATTAAAAGCCCTGTTCTTCCTGACTCACATATAAACGAGTGAGAACCCCCTTTCTAATACTCCAGGATTGGCTTTAAAAGTTGTTGATTAATCAGTCAACAAGTATTTAAGTCCCTGTTGTATATCTAATGGCAAGCTTTAGTTCCATCCTAAGCTTTTCCTTGGTTATAATTTCTACTCATTTAAATGAATAGCTCTGTTTATTGAGAATCTGTAGTAGACCAGGTATTGTGCTAAGTGCTTTCAATCCATTATTTAATCTTCACAAAAATCCTATGAAGTAGGTGTTAATATCCTTAATTTTTTTTTACAGATGAGGAAATTGAAGCATACAGGGTTAAGCAAGTCAGCCAAGGTGACATAGCTAGTAAATAGGTAGAGCCAGCTCCCAAACTGAGGTCTGTCTCCTAAAGATCCCTGCCCTCCCCATCATTGGAGCTGAAGCGTCTATGTATACAGTAAGAGAGTGATCTGTTGCTCTAGCGGGTGAGGCTTTCACTATGTGCCCCCTGTGGAAGACCTAGATGAGACCAAACTCCTGACTGGCACCAACAGCAAACCTGGGCTTTGTCACAACAAAATAGTGGGCATTCGGGAGGCAGTTATCTACCAGCTACTGGTTTCAAACTGGGGCTTGGGAGCCACCCGGATGAATGCATGCAAGACTTGTCTGAAAGGGCTTTTGTGATCAACTTCCTTACCTTCTGCTGTACAAGTAACAGGAATGACTTCCTGGTTGTGAAATGTGTTGCTGCTATCTGCAGTCCTCATTTGACCTGCTTGAGGTGGGCTTCCTGCCTGCTTGGGGTCTTAGTGACCAAGGATCTGATGGGGGGCTGGGAATTCTCAAGTCACTGTTAATGAATGAGACTGCTTCTTTGTCTACCAGATTTCCCATCACAATGTAAACAGTGAGTGCAGTGCTCAGCCCAGGCCTCCAACTCAGCTGCCTAACTATGGAGATTTCAGACTACAGAAACAGGTGTGTAAGAAATGCAGGCAGAAAAGCCCTTCACCACTTCCCTCCGCCTACTCTCCCCTTTTCCTCCACTGTAAGTGGGACACACACATTGAACAGAGGAAATCCTGGGTGCTGAACGTGTGACTGTATTTAGTCATTTTGCAGTGTCAAATTCCCAGTGGCCCTGGGAGAGGCTCACCTAACCACGTGGATGGGGCACCTGTATATTCTAGTCTTTCCCACACTGCTTGTGATAAAGTGGTCTTCTGGGAGATATTAACAGGGCTCTGCGGTAAGACAAATACGGAGGCTGCTGCCTCAGTCCCCGCTTGTGAAGATTCATTCATCATTGTGCGTATGGGCTCATTAAAGGGTTTGAAGTCCTACAGTAAAGAAACCTGGTCAATTTTGGTAAAGCTTGCAATTTCATAGTGTGTGTGACCATTCACCTCTTTCTTTATACAAGACTTAACAGTTCCCTGAGGGCTTGGTGGTTAGGGAACATTATTCTCCCCAGCTTTAAAATATTGGTAAGGACATTTCCAAACCGCTTTCATCTGGCACCTCCTCTCTATATTATATGATTAAAGTTAAATTTTTATATCTTAATATCTTAGGCCAGTAGTTTTCCCTAGAAGAGTTGAAACTGAAAAAGAAAGTTTACCACATGTTAGCTTCAGATTTCTAGTTGTCATGTTTTCAGTTTGTTGTGTTTTTTTATTTGCTTTTCTTTTCCTTCTGGCTTACTCTCTCATGAGGTCATTTTTACCACAAGCTTTATTACAGTAAACTTTGAGTTCTTCTTTTGTTCTGTTAAACATTTTTTTGAGTGTTCCTTCTTATGTATGGACAATCGACCTGATTGTGGAAAAAAATATATACACCTAACCTCAGAGACTTTTTTACGAGGCTTAAACTGTAGTACCTAGGGGAGAAACAAGGAAGCTTGGTATAATTTCAATCTTAAATTTATCAGTAGCTCTGAGAAGAGATTAAAATAAAAAGGTTTTGGATTTAAATTTTTCTTTTTTTTTTTTTTAAGATTTTTGTTTATTTGAGAGAGAGAGTGAGCTCGAGTACAGAGGGAGAGGGAGAGGCAGACTCCCCACTGAGCAGGGAGCCCAGGACTCAATCCCAGAATCCTGGGATCATGACCTGAGCCGAAGGCAGATACTTAAGTGACTGAGCCACCCAGGCACCCCTGGATTTAAATTTTTCATATTACTTAACATGATAAATGGTTAAGACTACATTATAATAAACAAGAAAACATTCTGTTCCCTAAAAAGGAACAACTATTTAAAAAACTGTGTGGCCAGTGATGTCCTTCTAGGTTTTAAGTATGTAAGAGAAAACCATTTGTACATTTGCAGATGTGTGTGTGTGTGTGTGTGTGTGTGTGTGTGTGTGTATGTATATATATATACATATATATATACACAAAGGTATATTGAGATCATTTCTACATATGCTAGAAGTATATCTCTACTTTTACCAAGTAAGAGAGATGAAGTATAGGTTTTCAGCATAAAATGCAGTTTAGCTGGCCGTTAATACTAAGCACTAGTATGATGATATGGACATCTGAAGTAAATTATACAAATGGGGCCCTAGAGTTAGGAAAAGGAATAAATTCAAAGAAACAGATCTTTTTATTTTGCATACTATAGGTAAGATCAAAGAGGGACCAAGTGACTATATAAAGAGTCAGATGGTTTGTGTTCCATGTTTTCTTGAGGACAAGCTAGAGACCAGGGCATGGTATTTTGGCTCAGCTCAGAAGAGGTGACATGTTTATTTATTAATTTTTTTAAAAAGACTGATTCATAATATAAATGATTAAAAAGCAGTTAGAATTAACTGTTTCATATGGAGCAGAGTTAACATGAGAGCTAAACTTAGTAGCTCACTGTTTGTATGCATATAAACTGAGTAAAATGCCATCTACAGAGTTGGTGCTTGTCCTGTAGGTCAGTTCTCTGCTAAGGGCCTATTTGGTACTCCAGTAATTAAATCTCTTTAATTGTATTGATCTCATGCCAAATTTTTTTTTTTTTAAAGATTTTATTTATTTATTTGACAGAGAGAGACACAGCGAGAGAGGGAACACAAGCAGAGGGAGTGGGAGAGGGAGAAGCAGGGTTGCCTGCAGAGCAGGGAGCCTGATGCGGGGCTCGATCCCAGGACTCTGGGATCATGACCTGAGCTGAAGGCAGACGCTTAACGACTGAGCCACCCAGGCGCCCCTCATGCCAAATTTCTTATGGCAGTAATCTTTATTAAAAAAGTTTTTTTGGTACAAAGGATAATCTTTTCAGTTTTTTTTTTTTTAAGATTTTGTTTATTTGACAGAGAGAGACACAGCGAGAGAGGGAACACAAGCAGGGGGAGTGGGAGAGGGAGAAGCAGACTTCCCGCTGAGCAGGGAGCCCGATACTGGTGGGGCTTGATCCCAGGACCCCGGGATCATGACTTGAGTCGAAGGCAGGTGCCTAACCGACTGAGCCACCCAGGTGCCCCATCTTTTCAGTTTTATATTAGCACCACATTTGATGAATTGGGGCTCCCTGTAGACTAATGTGCTCGGAATTTTCCTGTTGATACCACTAATTTCTTACCTTATAACGGCAAGTGCTTCTCACTGGCAATACAATGAGTACTAAAATAGCACTGTAGGGTGAAAGTACTATGGAGGAAGCATTTGATCAATACTTTTAAGCTTAGACCAAGAGGGCTTCATGGAAGGGCTAAGGTGACCAGTGAAATGAGTTTTAAACAAGAGAACTTTTCTTTTTAGATGGCTGAGGGGTTCAGAGCATTACTGTAGAGAAAAAGCAAATGCAAGGAGGCAGGCATGCAAGAGATCCCCATGTGTTCAAGGAACTGTCTGAAATTTAGAAAGCTAGATTTTAGGGGAGAGAGATTTAGTGTTTGGACGTGGCAGTGAAGAGCCGGTGGCTTGCCCACTTGAGGCCCCTTGAGGCCCAGTGGTGCCAGAGCTTTGGGAGAGGAAGGGCCCCCTGACAAGAGAGTTTTATCTGGGGAGCAGCCCCTATGGGAGAGCACAGGGTATCAATTAGCCCAGTGGTACTCACATTGTGCACACAGGAATCATCTGGGGGAGAGCTTTAAACCTACTGAGGTCTGGGTCCCACCCCCAGAGATTTTGGTGTGGTGGGAGGCCCAGGCTTTGGGAGTTTTAAGAGGCTCCCTACATGATTCTGAAGTGTAGCCTGGATTGAGAGACACTGAATTAAGGCAAGAAAAGGAATGTTCAGAGATGAAGCTGAGAATCTATGGGATTTGTTAATGGTATGCCCTGAGTTCTCTCTCTTTTTTTTAAAGATTTTATTTATTTGAGAGAGAGGAGAGGCAGAGCACAAGCAGGGGGAGGGGCAGAGGGAGAGGGAGAAGCAGATGCCCCACTGAGCCGAGAGCCTGATGCAGGGGCTTGATCCCAGAACCCTGAGATCATGACCTGAGCTGAAGGCAGGCAGGCACTTAATGACTGAGCTACCCAGGCGCCCCATGCCCTGAGTTCTTTAAGTGCACAGTGGAAGTCTTTCTTGAGTTGGGGAGGGTGGGAGGCATAAGGTCAGGTTAGGGGATGTACCCATACCCCGTGGGGACAAGAACCCAGATCCTGATGGATGGCCTTGGGAGTCTGTCTTCTTGGGATGGCTGACTCCAGCAGGGTTAGAGGGCTTGATGGGATGGTCTTGCTGGAAGGACTAGCCACTGCGCACCTCAGGTTCTGTGTGTACTATTTTGAAGGACTAGCCGTGAACCCAGGTGGCCTTGAGAGGAAACCATAGTCCACGTAGCGAGTCTTTCATCTAACTTTGTCATCTGGCTAGAATGAGGTCCCTAAGGCACTACTGAATCCAGTAGGAGTATGCTGGGCTTGCTGTTCTATTTCAAAGCCAAATTTCTTAGACACAACTTTTTAAGTAAGATCCTACCCTCTTGTCATTTCAAAGGAAAGACGAGCTCACTTCAACTCAAATGGCAGTTTGTAGGCCCTGAACTACTTCCAAAATACTTCCAAAATACTTGACACTATGCTTTTCTTTCTTTTTTTTTTTTTTTAAAGATTTTATTTATTTATTTGACAGAGAGAGAGAGACAGTGAGAGAGGGAACACAAGCAGGGAGAGTAGAGAGGGAGAAGCAGGCTTCCCGTCAAGCAGGGAGCCCGATGCGGGGCTCGATCCCAGGACCCTGGGATCATGACCTGAGCTGAAGGCAGACGCTTAACGACTGAGCCACCCAGGCGCCCCGACACTATGCTTTTCTAGAAAATGTCCTTATAAATTAATATCCTGTCATTTCAAGTATTCTTTCTGTAAGTTAATGTATAGTTGGTGATACAAAATAGTAAATTCTCCTGGAAGAAATTAAGCATTTCAGAGCTCCATACACACTTGTTCTTTCTCTCTTTGTCTTTGGCGGGGGGGGGGGGGCAGGCATTACTGGTGATAATGTAAGTTTCTCACAGGGTTATTTAATAGATTTTTAAAATGTAAATTTGATTAAAGTTTAACATGCATACTCAATCCATTTTAACTACAGACTAAATAATTTTTAATAGAGTAAAATGAAGTACTATCTCATTGGCAACTTTAAATATCTATAGGAAAACATTCTTTAAGTATAAACAATATGGAAATGTCACCACTTCTAACATTTTATGGCTTTTCTCCTGATCACATTAAAACTCAGTGGGCATGCATCAGATGTCATGAGATATGCAGATGATCTCATGTAATGTACATTAGTCATCGAATCACCTTAATATATTGGCTATGTAGATAAAGCATATTTGTGAGCTTTCAAAGATATATTCAACATCCTAATTTTCACTCATCAGTATGTAAGTTTAGTATGTGTCGAAAGATATTTTTCTGTGTATTCATGTATTTGAAACTTCATAATTATTCTGAAGAGAGTTTACAAACCTATCACCTAGAATGCTACCTTCGCTTTCTTCAAGTGTTACCCTGTTCTTATGGTGCACGCTGT